TGTCAACTAGCAGGTATTGAACCTACGACCACTAGCCTCATGGTCACAAATCCAAACCACTTTACTAAAGCAGGCAGTTATTAAAATTTTTGTATATACTCCTTAAGAATGTTCAAATTTAGTAATGATTAACCAATCAGAATAAAGATTCGCACATGTTTAAAATTAAGGTTTTCTAATTTAAGGAGAAATTTGATGTACGTCAACTTTAAATTAAATTCAAAAATTAAAGTTGTAAACTTCATAAATAGGAAAGAGAAAATATAGCTATCAATATAGGAGAGAGAGATCACCAAATAGAAGTATAAAAAGATATAAAAATAATAAAATAAGAAAAGAAAATAAGAATAAAATATACTAAAAAAAATAAAAATATTAATATATAGAGTCAAGAAAGAAAGAAAGGAGAAAGAAGAAAAAGAAGAACTTATAAGAAAGAATAGAGAAATTTGGTTTTTGAAGCAAGAAGTAGAGGAGTTAAAAGAAAGAGAAAAGTGGAGATACGAAGAGGAGTTGTTTAAGAAAAGAAAAGAAAAGAAGAAGGAAAAAGAAAAAAGAAAAGAAGTAGAGTTTGTTTCATCAGAAAGGTATAAAGAAGCAGGGTGTGGAAAGGTAATTTAATTTAAAACTTTATAAATAAAAGGAATCGTTTTTGTCATTATCATCCTTCATTTTTGTTAATAACACCTAATATGACATGAGCTATTTTTGATACGCAGTTTATAAAAATTTAAAGTCATATTAGGGTGCATTAGCGCTTTCTTGAATAAATTTAGATTGAATAATTTACATTGTCCATTCATTTAATCTTTTGATTTTAGACAAGTTTAATCGGATTTTTAGCCAAAGTAGTCGAAGTCGGATTTCGTGCGCTGAACCTTCACGCAGGAATTTCTGAACAAGTAATAAAATCCTTCATGACAATGGTTCAAAATGAAGCTCAAGAGAAAGAAACTTGGATATTTTTTGATGAAATTAATACTTGCAATCACATTGGTCTTCTATCTGATCTTTTAGCTCATAGAAGATGGTTAGGCAAAGAAATACACTATAATATTCGCATTTTTGCTGCTTGTAATCCTTATCGTAAACGTATTAAAAGTCAAACTAATGTGGGATTGAAGGTGCAACAAAAGAAATATGAAGAAAAGAATGAATTGGTTTATCAAGTTAAACCTTTGCCTGATCAAATTCTTGATTATGTTTGGGATTATGGAATTCTTCAAGCTTTTGAGGAAGAGAAATACATTGAAATAATGGTTTCTGAATCATTAGGAGAATTATTTGAAGATAATAAAATATTCGCAAAATTATTAGGTGAATCTCAAAGATATATTAGGACCATCGAAGAACCTTATAGTGTTAGTCTAAGAGACGTGAAACGTGCGATTACTCTAGTAAAATTCTTTGCAAAAAGCCTTACAAATCGTCCTGCGCTTCGAAGAAAAAATAATGCACCTCCATATCCTAATTCAGAAGAAATTAAATTTTCGATTAGATGTTATGTATTGTCATTAGGACTTTGTTATCAGTGTAGAATGTATGAACAATCTATTAGACAAGAGTATAGAGAAAAAATGGCTAGATTAATACTTACTCATGGATATAAATTTGATGTGGCTATGTTTAACAAAATTATTAAACAAGAGCAAGAGGATTATATTAATAGAATGATTTGTCCTCCGAATACCGCACATAATGAAGCACTTTTAGAAAATGTTTTGGTGATGATCGTTTGTATTTTAACAAAAATTCCCGTATTTATTATTGGAGCTCCTGGGTAAATATCACTATATATTATTATTGTATATTATTTTCGTATAATTAAATATAAATATTCACTCTTTAATTATTTTGTCATGTAGGTCATCAAAGTCGTTAGCGATAAGGCTTGTAAGTCAGAATCTAAAAGGTTCGGATTCAAATGACAAGTACTTTCAAGAATTACCGCAGGTATTTATAAGTTATATTACTTCATTACTTAATTACACGTATTCTATCAAAGTACAAGTAAATTCACAATAACTAATAATTTATATACTGTAGGTTTATTTAATTCCTTATCAAGGTTCATCATCTTCAACATCTGATGGTATCATCAAAGTATTTGAAAAAGCTGTTAATTATCAAAATACAAGTTCCAAGGAATTTAAAATCATTAGTGTTGTCTTACTTGATGAAGGTAATATCCTTTCACATTTATTAAAACAAAATTAATATGAGGGTGTCAGTGCAGTGAATTTATATATCTCGTTATATCAGTTATTGAATTCGACTGATTATATCATGTGATTCTTTTAGAAAAGAATTGTATACAAATCGCTTGAATTTAATTACTGTAACATAGATATTTCATGTTACTATCACGTCATAGTATTATTCTGTTTAAGATGTATTGTGGCTCAGTGATAGGTGGATAATCTCAATTTGTCAAACTACCCTATAATTTGTACTATACCATGTTGAGCGGCGAAAAAACTTCTCATATTTACTTTGTCATTTTTGTTTGTGAAATTTTATTAAACTTTAAATTCTCCTAAACAGTTGGATTGGCCGAAACAAGTCCATTTAATCCATTGAAAGTTCTTCATTCATTACTTGAACCAAGCTATCCTTCAGATGGTCCCGCTGTAGCCTTTATTGGTATATCTAATTGGAGATTGGATAATAGCAAGAGCAGCAGAGCATTATTAGTTCAAAGGTTTGTATGTCTTTTTAGTTTAAGATTGACGATTTTTTATAAAATTGCTAATGATGTTAAATTAATAAATATATATTTATTAATTAATTAGACCGAAATTCGGCCTAGAAGACTTGATAGATACGGCAGTTAATCTATTAGGTTCAAAGACCAATACTGGTGGTTCCAAAATAACAAAAACCTCTCTTAAACCGCTTGCAGATGCTTATTCATCCTACGAACAAACTGGACAGCTGCTTCCTAATTTCCATGGTCTTCGTGATTATTACGCATTAGTAAAATCATTATCCTTAGCCGATTTAACACCTCAAAATATTCAAAAATGCTTAGTTCGAAATTTTGGCGGTACAGATTCAGAACAAACTCAAAAATTATGTGAATCTTATTTTGGAGAGGTATTTAGATTATCTAATGATGCCAAGAATTGGGAATATACTCCAATTCCGGTCGAAGAGTTGATTAACGCAAATTTGGATGATGAAGGAGCAAGACATCTTATGGTCATTGGAAAAAGCGATTCAATCGTTAGTTTGTTGACCTACCAATTGAGAAGTAGAAATTTGGATCCCGTAATTATTTTGGGTTCTCAATTTCCTGATGATAGAGATGACTATTCTTATAGTATATTAAGTAGGATTATGGTAAGTTTTAAATTTAATATAATACGAATGTTAAAATTTTTGTTTATTTTTATTTTATTTATGTGTATATTTTTTGTAGATGTGTGTCGAAGCCGGAAGACCATTAATTTTAACAGACTTGGAAATTATTTATGGGAGTCTTTATGATTTATGGAATCAAAATTATATTGTTGTGGGTAGTACAGATGATCCAAAATATTATACTAGAGTGGCACTCGGTGCTTATGCAAATCCTATGCTGTAAATATATTAAAACTTTATCTCATCATTTTCTACAACCAATTTTTGCTGAAATATACTAATTAACATATCATATTTTATTCCTTTTAAATACCTAGTTTTGTAAATAAAACATTTAGATGCATTCTAGTGCTTGATGAAAAAAAACTCGAGACGGCTGATCCACCACTTCTAAATCGGTTTGAAAAACAAAAAATGACAATTAATAATATCCTAACACATCAAAATACCCAATTAGTTGAACAATTATCTATTTGGGTAACTCAGATGTCAAAAGTATTTGGTGGTCCTAACGCATCAATGCCAATAATGGAATTTAAACAAAAGGATCTATTCATTGGGTTTGACCCTGATGAAACATTACAAAGTTTGGTGATCGATGTCACTAAGAGATACCCGGCTAGTGAAAATATAGATTTTCTTCAAAAATGTAAAGAAAAACTGATCGCAATCGCCTCAAGTGATGGAATTATAAGAGCAGAAAAATCTAGATTGGATCCCGAAGAAATTAATTTTTGGAAAAATGTTTATTATAATGATCAATGTCATGATAATATTACCAAATATATCAAGTCTTCTCTAAATAAATCGAATATTGAAAACGCAAATTCTGAGGGACTTCAGGTCATCATTAATACATTCTCCAACATTAATACAGATGTAGAAGCTTGTCTAAAAGATATTATCAGCTGTCAAGTTGATAAACTATCAACTTTCAAAACAGAATCCCAACTTCAAAACAGGGTTAAACATTTCTGGTTAAATTCTACAGCCGAAATGTTGATTCTCCAATGTGATGTCACTACAATAAGTGCTGGATGTATTAAATTAGCTAAATTTATAATTGAACAATTTAAAAATGATTATATGATTAAAAAGAAAGCAAGACCTGAATTAAATATGAAAACAAAACATTCATGTATTATATTACATGTTCATAGAGAGCAAGAAAATTCATCAGCAACATTTAATTTCATGTGTGGATGGGATCAAATAACTATCGAGACTCTGTCTCAACAAGAGATACCTTTATCAGAACTTTTAGATAAAAGTTTGAATGACGTTATTAATACTACTTATAAATTTGAGGATATTTTGGTGCTTATTATGCATGAAATATCCTTCGAATATAAAATCCATTGAACACATCAAGTAAAAATTTTGTTAATACTTTTGTGTTTTCATTTATGCTAAACATTATACTTAAGTTATTTTTGTAATTATATTTCTACACTATTATTAGGCTTCTGAACTCAGAAATTTGTAATCATCCAATCTTATTAGAATGCATTAAGACATGTACCCAGCAATGGCTTCAAGAAAAGGCTTCTAAAAACTGGCAATATGATGTAGCATCTAATAAGAAATTATTATATAGATATCCATCATTTTTAACATCTTTGCAGGCCTATGTCAAAGGATTTGTCAGAAAACCAATTGCCAAAGCCTTTTGTACGCTTGAAAGATTAGCAGCCACCAGGACTTTCTTCTCAATCGATATCAATAAGACTGATGCTTTAGATGAAGATAATTACTTACTCAAGTTTTGGTTAGAAATGTTTAATAACAAAAAAATAATTAATATAGATCAAATTTCAGA